AGGTAAGGGTAGGTGCAGATGAACCTTGTTGAAGAACAAGGAATAGCTGGGAGAATAGTGTAGTTACTCACTGAGAACCTAAGAATAAATTGTGGGGAAAGGGAGGAATCTGGGACACATATATGCAGTAGGAGTTAGAAATAAAGATTTGGGAGTCACCTTTGTAGACAAAGCAGCCACAAGAACAACTGTTCAGCAAAAGAGAACATGCTGAGCAAGAAAAAAAGAACAAACCACAGGAAAAGGCTGAACGATACCGATATTTAAGGAGGGCAAAGAGAATTAGTAAATTGAAGAGTGGCAGTATCCCAGAAGCTAAGGAAAGAAAGAATTTCAAAAGGGAGGTAAGAGCTAAGAAGTAAGTGTTAAATGAACAAGAGAGGAAATGAGACAAAGACTTTTTAAAGGCCACAGGATTTTAACTGACAGGATTTTAAAATAAAATTTCTGTGACCAAATAATCAAAATTATAAACCATTAACATCCTTTAGAAAGTTCTATCACATTAACAATTACTGCATTAATTCAGATTTCATCTCTCAAGAATTCTCTTCACCAACTTAATTCTGCATCAAGGTAAATAGGACTTACACGTATGAATTCTGGTACAAACCATCTTAGGGGAATCTGACATTTGGAACAACCTGCTTAAGGTTTAATGTATTAAAAAGACTATACGATAAAAGTCTGTGGCTTAATATGTAACCACTACTACAAGAGAAATTCAAGTAACATGCATAAAAGGAAACAAGAAGCAAAAGAAACCGAACTATGAGAACCCTTTGTCAACAAATTAATGTGAAATAACCAATCGGGTAATAGATTAAAAGCTTAAAGACTCATCAGATCCATGTAGCATCTCCCAAACTCATAGGACGTTTAAAAGTTTCTCAACAGTTACTGATGCTAATCTGCCAATTAGTCTGCTAATGGGTCTTGCCCATAATTTACCTCCTTAATGCCTTTTAATTGCCTTTATTTCTTAAAACGCGTTATTACGTGTGAAGTTTAGTAGAACTGTGGTCCACGCAGATATAATTATCTCAGCGCTCTGCTTCTGTTGTGTGTTACCTCCCAAGTAGTTGTTGCCACAATTTTTCTCTTAACTCTTTTAACAAGCTACGGTTATCAGCACTGAGTTGTATAAAAACACAATTTGGGTTGCAAAGTTTAACTTCTACTCTTCAGATTAAAGTTGTAATTCAGACATTAAGACTCTATCTTATGGCCCATGACACAGTTTTCTAATTCACAAATTAAAACCAATAGTTGCACGGTATGCAGAAATAACAAGCTTTAAAATGTCTATTCATATTATATTCATATTAAATTTTCATTAACAGAAAATTGAGACCATATCTGAACTAAACCATCATGACAATTATTACAAAACCTGAAAATTATACAAATATGAAGGGACAGTCCTTTGACTTTGAGAAGTTATTTAAACCATTACTGTTATAAATTAAGCACTTGACTTCAAAGTGTCGAAGGCAAAAAACAGTGCAAAAGCTTCATAATTAAAAATTAAAAGAAAAAGCTAAATATGGCTAACTCTAGACCTAAATCTATGCAGTAACATTCTAAAAGACTTTTAAAGAGTCTTATTCAAGCTAATGGAGATAATGTAATATAATCAAAAACTCAGAAACTATAGTTCAACGTGCATCATCTAGTAATAATGGCATACCTTTTCTTTCTGTTTTCTGTGCAGGGACAGAAGATGTGGGTGTAGGCAGTTTTGATAAAGTAGATGCTCCATTAGCATCAAATGATTTCTTTGGCTGGTGATCAGACTGTAGCGTAAATGGACTAGAAGGAAGAGTGCTTGGGGTAGCAGTTGGATGAACCACTGGTTTGATGGGGTGCTGTACTGGCGTAGAACTACTGTGAGTCTCTGCTCTTGGCAGTCTGTAGTCTCTGTCATTGTGTCTGCTTGTTTGAGACAAAATATTCTGTGGGAGCAAACTACTGGCATCACTGGAATGCTTGTCTTCCACTTTAGTTCACAGTTCGAAAAAAGAGATGTTGGAATGACGGAAGGGGGAAGAAAAAAGATTACGTTAGAATCCTGTCTTTAACATCAGCTAATTTAGCAACATACCTGTACTTGTATCTTGATATAAAACTGCAAGCCCAGTTAGTATCTGCAGTTTTACCACTAGCATATATAAAAATCCAAATACTGAAAGAGAGAAATTTTAGCTCAATTGTAATTAAGCATTAATCTATACTCAGATTTCAAGTGGGCTACTAGTTTCGGGCGATTCTTTAGAACCACACCACAGTTCACACAAAACATGGAAAAAAATAAATATATGGAGTTATAACATTTTACTCAAATGAAAACCTTTTTAAATATTTTAAAATAGAAAAGGGAAATGGTCCATTCCTTTAAAATATGGACCACAGGTTCTAATAATTGAATTATCCACAGTGGTTCAACTGCAAAGGAATATTAGCTTTTATTAGCCTGATTGTTCTGAATAGTAAAGTAGCTAACTAGTGGTCTCTAAAGTAGTTTGTGCTAGGGCTTAAATGACCTTATTTTGGGATGGCTGAATTTATGATGTACTGTGCTTTCAAAACATAAATCAGTTCATATTTTTAATAATGCTAATAATACCATTTAGTTATAAACTCAAGTTATAGATAATGCTATCTGAAAATACAAAGCCTACATCTGGCAGCACAGTCAGAAAATTCTACTCGCTATTTACCAGTTCTATTAAAAACATCTCCTTCCGATTTAAAGTCACAAAAATATTTAAACCTCAGAAATATTCTACTTCCAAAAAAGAGTACAAGGAAAATTTCAACAATCATGATAACAAAATTTGGATTTATCAAAAATTCTATAGCCAAAATTCTAATACTCTAATTTATAACTAAAAAATTAAGCAACTTTCAAGTAGAGAAATATCTTAAGATTCAAGCACATATGCAATAATATTACCAAAGGATGCCCTCCCTGTTGAATATTTTAGTTTTTTTTCCAATTCGTGGTTCCTCTGAGTCTAGAGATCAAGACAGTGCAAAGAAAGAAGTATACTGAAACTACAAGTCAGTTTCCAAATCTTCAGTGCACAACTCCCACGTGTTACACTAAACAAAATGTACTGGGTACTGCCAAAAAAACCTTCAGTTGTACGAAAACACAGTCTTCTGACTTAATAAATGAAATTCAATGTTATAAGTTACACATTAACCTTAGCAAAAAAAAAAAAAAAATGAACACACAGATTGAGCTATCAGAGTAGAATACAAACATCTGTTGCATGATATTAACTCATCATTAAACCATCAACTTGCATGCAGCACACGAAACTTAAGAAATTTTGTTCTAGAATGTCTTCCTGGGAAGAATACCGCTACAATAGAAACTTTTCAGGACAGATAAAACAAATAACACCATGCCCAATTCCCCCTAATCATGTCACTTGATTACCAAGAACTTTTTTTTCCTGGACACCAACAAAAGTCCCTTTCAGTTCTGTATGACTGGAGTCAAAGTACAATAAGCAAATGCATTCAGATGAAAATTAAAGCTGATACTTCTTCACTTGTAAGCTTTAGGGAAAAAAATGGCAGCAGGATTACAGGAGCTAAGGAAGTAGCAGCTGCAACAACTTTCTATTATTCACAACTCTAGACAAAACAGTTAACTCAATGACTCTGCTTGCACACCCCCCACAACAAAGACATTTGGCAAATGTCTGCAGACATTTTTGGTTGTCACGACTGGGGAGAGAGGAGGTGTGCTACTGGTATCCGGCAAGTAGAGGCCAGGCACAGTATACAGGTATGGAGGACGGCGTCCCACAACAAAGAATCTCCCAAGCCAAAATGTCATCGGTGCTACTGTTGAGAAACCCCAAATTAAGGTTTCTCTAAGCACAGAGCAATCATTCTATGAGGCACAGATTAAAGCCAATGAAAACCTACCAGCAGTAATGTCAAATTAAAAATTTTATCCAGAAAGTTTTCAACGTCAAGTTCTGGATAACATTATTTGCTATAGTGCAAAAAACAAATCTATTTTCTACCTTGATGTCTTTACATATAAAACCTTTCCATCTTGCCCTGCCTCGCCCCACACATTTTATCGGCATTTATGAACTACAAAGCTTTAGGCCTTATCCTATATGAACACCAATGCACTGGACATATGGGAAAGTTGCCAACATTTTTTGGATAGACCAAGTTAAGCACTGAAATGGCATAATGACTTCATTACTACCACACTTAAGTACAAATCAGTTGATCAATTAAGGGAAAATAAAAGGAGAAAGTCAAGGTTTTTCTCAAACATTACTTAAAACTGAAAAGGTGTGACTCATGACTGTTTTTCAACACAAAGTCAGACCTACTGACTCATCATTTGCACTTCGAGGAATTTGGCTGAGGAAGTAATAATAGGAATCGCAGCACTGTTGACATTAGGAAAAGGCAAAAAACCACCTAAGTATCTTATTTATATATGAGGGCACAACCAAAAATGGAAACCCATGCAGCCAATTTAACACATATGGATTTATAAACTGACACAGAAACATTTCCTTGAAATACTACTGAACAAAAGAAAAGATTAAAAGCAGTAACATATCATCCCATATATATATATATACACACACACATATATATATATGTAGTTTTTATAAACATTTGTAAGCATACAGAAAAAAAGTATAACCCCAAATGTTCCTGGCTGACGGAATTTAAAACTGACCCCTCTAATTTTTTAACAATAAACATGAATCACTTGTGAAGTTATGGAAAAAAAGGAAAAAACTATTTCATCTTTGAAAGAAAAAGATGCACACAATTTAAAAACTGATTTTATTTCCTTAAAGGTGGTTTATTAAAAAGACAAAAAAAATAACATTTTCACTTCTATCATTATTTGCATCATATCTTTAACTACTTCTCTCATGTACTCTACCTCAAGGGAGGAAAAGAGACTTAACTGATAAGAGTATTTTGGAAAGAATAAAGCAGACACACTACGCTCTGTTTTCCTATCCGGGAACCATGAGCCACTGAGAGGCCTGCCCCAATATCTTAATAAAGTTATTATTTTTACACCCATTTGCCACTCCTTCTCCATACCTCCTAATCTCCCTTTTTCTGCAGTTTGTTCGGGAGGCCCATAAGCAGGGTGCTATTTTTTTTAACCTGGAAAGAAAAACCTTTATCTCATTTTTGATTGTTTGCCAGAAGTCAGTTACTTAAGGTAGTAAGTGAAATGGACCTAGAACCCAAGCCTTCTGTCTCAAAATACAATAGTCTTAATTTTACTTCAGTACTTTAAGTCATTGTTTTCTGAGAATTAAGTACAATTTCACGAATATAAAAAAATTAAATGTTCCAAGGAATGTAAATTAAACATTCAGTGCTGAAGAACTGTTAACTATCTGTTTCACCTTAAAGTTTTTCCCATCAAAAAATCAGCATCCTCTGCTGAGACCAAACACATCCCCTACATAAGTTACAGGAGGAAGATTCAAATGCTTAAGTCCAAGAATTTCCAGAACACATCTTTTTAAGATTCTTCTCAAAATTTCAAATTTGACAAAGAGCCTAAAAATTCTACAGTGGCATTTAAATTCTATTCCAGGCAAGGGAAGCCACTGGGAATAGACTACCACTAGTAAAAAGCTTCAAATTCAAACTCAATTTGAATTAAGAAATAAAAGTATAGGACTCATACTGTCCCACTTAGACATAATCTGACCTCAAAAAATATTAAGGTATGCCCACATTATGGAGACGTTATACAGATCTAGGATTATGACAAAATCAGTATCCAGCTATGAGGATAAAAAAGTTACTCCCTGATAAACACAAAGCACCGATATTTGGATGTCACAATCTGTGTGTGGCCACAAATCAATAATTAGATGGAAACACTGAGTTTTGGAAGGGATTTCACTGTCCAGTTTAATAGGACACAATTCAGGAAAGGTGAAAAAACACAAAACTCCTGCCTTAAAAAGCAGTCAGTCCACATTATGAAATTTTATTTCTCACCAATTCAGCTGCATTATAGCCATTATGAGTAGTGATGAATACATAGATGTACTATTCCTCTGTGCACCCTTTTTCTTTTCAGCAATCAAAATGGTGGAGGTTAAGGGGACAGATCTGACATAAAAGAAACCCTGTATGTTACTATTATTTTAGTTTACATATGTAAACAGTTATGCATACAGAGATAAATACATGATCTATAGGAGTGAATCAAACATTATACTGTTGCAAAGACAATAATTAATACTTACTTCCACTGGCAAACCCACTAGTGGCTGTTGCTTGCATCACCTCCCTTCTGTAATCCCTATCTTTTGGGAAGCTATTAACTGCCATCTTGTTTGCTTCTTTTTGTCTCTGTTCTCTAAAAATAAAACATGGATAAACCCATAAAAATAATATCAAGTACAATGAGTTTACATGTGCCACTTCTCAACAAATGGTCAAAACAAAATGGTATATGGAAAATAAAAGAACTGAACACAGCCATACTATCAAGTGGTGTGGAAGATGAGAGAGACATAGCTAACAGAACATTAATGTTTCTCAGTGATGGCAATATTATAGCAATTATTTATATGCCATTAACCCTACAACCAAAACTCTCCAATATTAATTCTACATGTATGAAGAAAACATATTATCCTTTAAGAATTATAAAGATCTCTATTACAAATTATAAGACACATAAATATAGGATGATATAAAATTATAATTAAATATACTGTTTACAAAGTCCTTGGGGACAGCTGCTTATCTGTCCAAGTTATTTTTTTTATTTTAAGAGAAATTATAGAAAACACAATGGGCCAACTCCTATAACTAAAGAGGAGAACGAGGAGTTTCACTGTAAGAAATCTAAACTCAGAATGTTCTAAGATATTAACTTGTAGAATCAAGAAGAAATATTTTTCAATAAGAGCAAATACCTTTCAAGCCACTCTTTTGGTTTTTCCCATTGTGAAACTTCTGTTCGACAATTGTAGTAGTATTTTTTCCCAGAAGAGCTAATATGCTCAGACCAGTCATCTGCAGAATCATAAGGCTTAAAAATACATTTTTACAAGTTAGAAAATGTTAATGCTAATCAATCAATATCAAGAATGCCAAAGGTTTTCAAAGCATATATATGGAAAAAGACTATGAAACAAAGGGATCTTGATCTAGAATGTAATTCTCTGTATATGTATCTTAGGAGACCTTGGTCTACTGAAAACCATCAAAAATAACAATAGAAAATCCTATAAAATTAAACAGATTACATTAGATTAGGCACAGAATAAGAAATGCAAAATTAACACATCTTGACTGTAGAAAAGCATTACAAAAAGTTCCCCATTATTGTAATTTTAATTGCTGAAATCCAGTCATACGGCAGCGGGAGGGAGAGTGTTTTAGAAAACCCACTCAACTGACTGATTTGATGACAGGACAGTGCAGCAGTTCTAAACTCATCATGGCACAACAGTACTCACATACAATGTAAGAGAGAACATCCTGCCTATATTAACTTACTTAGTGGAAAAAAAAGGCACAAAATTAAAAAAAAATGTAAACACAGCTTTGTGCTATAAATTTGTTTCACCTTCAAAATCCATGAGATGGGCCAAGTGTTAGCTAAACCTTGTCTAATACACAGGGTCAGCAGCATCACTCATTTCCCTGTAACAAAAACCAGCCTTTCAAAAATTCTCACATTCTCTAGGTATTTTATAGATACTGTTAAATTATAAAGAAATTAGAAAAGTCTGAAAGGAGGCCCCATTTCCATGGAACTGATCTCAAAACGTATGAAGTCTAAGTGCCTGCACTGGCCCCGGGAAATCGGATAGGTTTCCAAGTGTACTTCTAGATGAAGTTGACTATTTTCTCAAAGGAGCTTTGAGATCAAAATGAAACAATGTCATACTTTGGTAGTCCACACTTCTTCTGGGCTCACCGGTGTAAAGTGAACAATTTTAAAGCTTGAGGAACAAACTCTCCTGCCCTGCTTTAATTTCACCAAGTAGGAAATAAGCCTAGAGAACTTACAAGTTGTCCATAGGTCACAAAAGTAATTGTGACAGAAAAAAGGGTCAACACCTGTTTCTGGATGCCCATTATTTCCACCAAATCAACTCCAATTCTAAATAGGTCACAATAATTTTGAGGGTAGATGAAAAAATATTGCAGATTCTGCCACATTTATGCTCTTGGGAGTATGCTCCCCAAAAATGAAGCTACTGGAAATCACCCATGTGCCTCCAAGCTTCTGATACCAGTGGAAAGTTAACTCTCAATCCTTCTAGTTTCCAGAAGTAGCCTACAAGTACCAAGCTGCAGGAACCCAACCATGGGAGATTGAATGCAGAGCAGATGTGAAGTTCTAGGTATCTTCTATTAAGACAAGCGTTAAAGAGATAATTCGATTCTATTTTTTTGTTTTATAGTTATTTTTCATAAAAACATTACATACGCTAACATATAAAGGGTTTACAATTGACCAATTTAAAAATTATTTTTCATATTTATCAAGTTTTAATTTTTAATATGGCAAATACTGATAGAAGATAAACAAAGGCTCTCAAAACTCATGAATGTAGAAAGATCTTGAGAAAGAATGAAAACAACTGCATTTAACGAATAGTACTAAACAGTTAGTACTCCATAGGCACCATCTGTTCTCCAATTCAAAATGTCTTTTACCTCTTATGCAAACACTGCTTTTCTCTTTTTAAAAAAGCATATCCCTTTCTACTGTCTTTCTTGGAATACAGAATCCCACTACTTCTTCCCCAAGTGAGATCATGGGAAAGAAATGGTTAATCTTGGAATTAACCTACGAATGGTTATTAAGGAACAGTTCACTGAACAACAACATCGAAGACGGCATTTACTGTAACAAAAGAATTTCATGGAGTCCTAAGAATTCTCTGATAAATTTCTAATTTTTAAAAAATTAAGCTGTGGGGCGCCTGGGTGGCTCGGTCGGTTAAGCATCCGAACTCGGCTCAGGTCATGATCTCACGGTCCGGGAGTTCAAGCCACGCATTGGGCTCTGTGCTGACAGCTCAGAGCCTGGAGCCTGTTTCGGATTCTGTGTCTCCCTCTCTCTCTGCCCCTCCTCTGTTCATGCTCTGTCTCTGTCTCAAAAATAAATAAAAACGTTTAAAAAAAAAAAATTTTTTTTTTTAAATTAAGCTGAGTATCTTTGGGCAAGGCTGATTACAGAAACTAGATCTTGAGGGCCTCGAACTGAAAAGCTCCAAAATATGCAGAAGATACTTAAGCCATAACAGTAGAGCTGATATATAAATGCCAAGTCATCTAGGACTGACTTCAAACTAGGACTGAATCCCTAGCAAATCAAAATTGGTGGACAGGCAGAAGGGAAGATACCAATTATGTATTTAAATGGGAATAATTTTTTTTTCTAAATGAAGCAATTTAGAGGCCTCTTAAAAATCACAAATATGCATAACTAACCTAAAATAATCTACATGAGGTAAATCCTATTATGATTTAGATTAGGGAGGAGGACGCATTCAAAAAGCTTTTCCTAGTTACCATGGGCTCGGTTCTGTGTTAAACCACAATAAATGTTCATCATCACAGGACATATGAGCATCTTAATCGAATACTGAAAAAATAAGACAACTTCAATTTGATTTTCAACAGTTTATAAATATAAATCACCCAACAATAAAATGTCTTTGTAGATAACTAAATGAGATTTTCAAAGACAGATTTAAAACGTGAAAACTTCGAAGAGAAAAAAGAACTACTTTTTTAAAAAGTTATTCCATATTGTGTTGACCTAAGTTACCTAATATTCATCTTTTCTTCCATTATGAAAATATTAAAGACTAATTTTACGTTTTATTTTCTACTCAAAAACTTCCATCAGAAGTGATTTGAAGAGAAAGTCAGTTTACAACTAAGTAACATGCAGAAGTTTCAAAAGCTAACTTCTCAGGTAAGATTAAATTTATATTTTATAAAACATGTGTCATGCCCACTGGGTACATTATAATAAAAAAGACACCTGCTTGGAGATTAATTATATACCTATAGTTGAAATTTACCAAAAGGGAAATCCTGATTCTGAAAACATGTAACACTTAATTCATTCCATTTCAGTACAGTCTTCAGTATCCACCCACATAATGAAATCCCCTAACATGATTTGGGTTGATGAAACTTCTCTGATTGCTCATTGTCATCTTGGAAATCAAAATAACCAGAATTAGTTTTCCTTGAATAAAGATTCTGTTTAAACTAATGTCCACATGGCCTGCCACTGTAACTGTCAGCAAATACCAAATCAGAATTGTGAGTGATAAATGGAACTTTAAGTTATTGCTTGTTACTTTGTAAATTAATGGAGCCATTTTCCACAAAAAAGATTCATCCTAAAATCCTGACTATACACCTTAATGGAAATGACTCCTCACAAGTAGTTTGGTAAACACCAGTTAAGGTTTACCAAGCTGTTGTCTCAGTCTCGACACCACACTCCTACTAAATTTTTTTTTTTAACGTTTATTTATTTTTGACAGAGACAGAGCATGAGCGGGCGAGGGGCAGAGAGAGAGAGAGACACAGAATCCGAAGCAGGCTCCAGGCTCCGAGCTGTCAGCACACAGCCTGACGCAGGGCTCGAACTCACGAGCTGTGAGATCATGACCTGAGCTGAAGTCGGATGCTCAACCGACTGAGCCACCCAGGCACCCCAACACCAACACTTCTATGCTGTTCTGTGATACTGCAAATTACATTCTATTTAGTCACCTGGCTTCCCGTTAGATTCTGCCAACAGCAGGGACTGGAACAGGACTGAAAGGCAGGAGAAAGGAGAAGCCTAGCAGCCACAGCTGGCTCCAGTTTCTGGCTCTCTGCTGTCTGAAACCAGAACTAGCTTCATACCACTGAGGTTCTAACCAGATCTCTGCAGGACTCCTCCTCTAAACTACTAGGTTCTAATAACCACAACGTCTTCTTACTGTACTCTGGCCCTAATGGTGATTACTATAGATGCAATAGCTGAATGTTCCTTTTTGTTTCTTCAGTCCTCAAAAGCATGCAGTATCTGCTTAATCCTATATATAAAATTCTTTGCACTATTAAATTTTCTGTGCTGAAATATCCAGTATTGTTTTGTTCTCCTACCTGGACCGTGACTAATACAATATTTAAAACCACTCTAAGGGGCGCCTGGGTGGCGCAGTCGGTTAAGCGTCCGACTTCAGCCAGGTCACGATCTCGCGGTCCGTGAGTTCAAGCCCCGCGTTGGGCTCTGGGCTGATGGCTCAGAGCCTGGAGCCTGTTTCCGATTCTGTGTCTCCCTCTCTCTCTGCCCCTCCCGCGTTCATGCTCTGTATCTCTCTGTCCCCCCAAAAAATAAACAAACATTGAAAAAAAAAACCAAAAAAACAAATAAAACCACTCTAAATCTACCTTTATGAAAATACTACCATTTATGTTTCGAGTTTCTGCAGAAATGTACTATCCACACTGCTTCAACAAGGGACAAGAAATAATCAATCCCAAGCACCTTTCAATGCTGATTAAGTCATGATGATCACCAAAGCAAAATCTGTTGGATTCAACCTCCACTTCTATAGTCTTCTGGTTGTTCTTTCCTTCCTAGATTTTCCAAGGTACTACCGGATAGAATTTTTTAAATTTCAAGTATGAGGTTACTTCACCAATTCTATGCTTCAATAGCTCTCCACTGCCTTTCTATAAAATTCATATTCCTTGGTAAGATATATTATTTTTTTGTGATCTGGCTCCCACTCACGTCTGTAACCTGAACTCTTGCCATTTTTCACACTACCAAATCCTTGCCGTTCTTCAAATACACTGGGCTATCTCACACTTCACTGTCTAGATGCTGTTCCCTTTGCATAGCACACAAATTCCAGACCTCTTCAACTGGCTAAGTTCTATTCAATCTGCTCAGTAGTGTTACTTGTACTTTAATATCTTACTCTCATCCAAGCTGGGAGTTCTCCTTCTGAGTGCTCCCAAAGCAACTTTAACTCACACTGTTTAAAAAAAAATTTTTTTTAAGGTTTATTCATTTCTCAGAGACAGAGAGAGACAGACTGTGAGCAGGGGAGGGGCAGAGAGAGAGGGAGACACAGAATCCAAAGCAGGCTCCAGGCTCTGAGCTGTCCACACAGAGCCTGATGCGGGGCCCGAACTCACAGACTGTGAGATCACGACCTGAGCCGAAGTCGGACGCCCAACCGACTGAGCCACCCAGGCACCCCTAACGCACACTGTTTTAACTGTTCACTCTTCAGTTTTCACCACAGGTCCAAAAGTTCCTTTAGGATGGGCCACATTTTCTTAGTACTATATGGCTACAACCTAGCATATGCTTGGCAACTTTTGTAAAATGGACTTGTTACAACTTTCATTTGAACCCTGACTTTAAAAAATGCAAGCTGAGTTATTACTTCAGTTTAGAAATATCTAAAATTCCTGACTTAAATTCCCTTGAGGACAGGAATCTTTGCATCACTAGTGTTTAGTACAGTGTGTAACACAGGAGATGCTCTTAACAGATGTTGTAAGATGTGTACATATTATAGAAGGAGAACAAGCTCAAGTTAAACCACTTTAGGTAACTATAGAAGTTTCATAATCTACAGATCTTTATATCTCAGATATTGCAACGGTAGATTTTGCTCTGTACAGTAAAAAAGTGAAGAAATATCAAAGTGGTGTCTCCCAAGTATTCTCAATTCTACTAAAAAGTAAGCTCATTACTTCAAATACATTTTTATTTATTTATTTTTAAATTTTTTTTTCAACGTTTTTTATTTATTTTTGGGACAGAGAGAGACAGAGCATGAACGGGGGAGGGGCAGAGAGAGAGGGAGACACAGATTCGGAAACAGGCTCCAGGCTCCGAGCCATCAGCCCAGAGCCCGACACGGGGCTCGAACTCACAGACCGCGAGATCGTGACCTGGCTGAAGTCGGACGCTTAACCGACTGCGCCACCCAGGCGCCCCTCAAATACATTTTTAAAAAGGTCAACATTTACTTAAAAAAAAAAAAAAGACATTAGATTTAACAACAACAACAACAACAGACTTGGTTGAAGGGGTGGAGAGTGGAGGTGGGTAGGGCAATAAATGAAACAAACAGAAAAAACCCAAAAACCAAAAGTGAGCATGTTTATATACTTACTGTGTCTGAAGTTTTGCTTGGATTATTGCTTGGATTAGAAGAATGTGAATTTGAACTATGAAGAGCACTGTGGTTGTGTGAATTTTCTTGTGGAGAGTAACTGGTCCCTTAAAAGAAATAAAGAGCAAAGTGAATTATAAATCATATTTCATGTTTAATTTCAACTGGTTTCTACCATACTACAGATCACCATGTAACCCTAAATCATTTTACATAAGCATCAGGAATATATACATATTCATACTTCTTGCAATATTAAGCATTTGTGAGCCAACTAAAGATGTGGCTTGAAGAGCATGTATCTTACATGGCTGACAGCCTATGGAAAAATGTTAACTATATTTAGATGAGCAAAACCTAATCTATATCATTTCTGGCAACTTGTTTTTGTTTTTTTTTTTTTAAATAAGTTATATTAGGGAAAGACAGAAACACAACCACACATAAAGAAAAAAGTCACAAAATTTCAAGCGATACACAACTAAAAGTCACAAATATCCAATATGTTTTTGCAATTATTTTTAAATTTCTTTTTAAAAATATTTTTGAACATTTACGTATTACTGAGAGAGAGAGAGTACACGCACAAGTGGAGGGAGGGGCAGAGAGAGGGAGAAGCAGGCTTCACACTGTGAGCACAGAGCCCGATGTGGGGATGTAGGGCTCAAATTCAAGAACCGCAAGATCAGGACCTGAGCCGAAATCAAGAGTCAGATGCTTAACTGACAAGCCATCCAGGCGCCCCTATTTTTCAATTTCTTAAATAGCTCCTACAACTTTAAAGAGTTCTGCCAATTTTTTAACTAAAACAATATCAAGAAAACTAAATCTTAGGGAAAGTACTTCCCTTTCAAGATGGTGAAATGTTATCAAGTCCCCTAATAACAGGACCATCTCTACCTAAGAATGGTTTTTAAAGTAATTCATAAGTTTTATGAATAAACCAGACATCTCAGAGACCATCAGAGATGATAAGTGTTCACGGTCTTTAAAAAAAAAAAAAAAAAAAAAAGAGGGGGCACCGGGGTGGCTCAGTCGGTTAAGCGTCCAACTTCAGCTCAGGTTATGATCTCACGAGTCATGAGTTCTAGCCCTGCGTTGGGCTCTGTGCTGACAGCTCAGAGCCTGGAAGTGCTTCGGATTCTGTGTCTCCCCCTCTCTCTCTCACTCTCAAAAATAAATAAATAGTAAAAAAAAACAAAAAACAAATTTTAAAGCCAAGGTATAAAAACATAGACTTGTAAAAACGCTGGTAAGGATATGAAAAGGTTCATCATAAAAGTCTAATTGCTAGTATTTCAAATTTCATTCCACATGTTTATTTTTCAGCAACAAGGTACCATAATTCAACTTTTGTTAAAAAAAAAAAAAAAAAGAAAAACAACTATGCTGTCAATGGTATGGAGGGTACCCTATAATGAACAAAAAAGTGGGAAGAGTAATTTAAATGGATGACTGGTCTAGGAATTAGCACTTAGAAACAGAGTTGTTATTAGTAGAAATAATTAAGAATTAACTATATCAGCAGAGGAAACTAGGTGGATAAGAAAGTGAACTGGGGACAGAAGGGGACTATAAAGTTTTAAGATACCCAACCAAGTGGAAGTGGTCAGCAGATCTACACAGAACCAGGAATTCAGAAGGGGATCTGGAAGTCTCCTCCATTAGAAGTGAAAGGTAGGAGACTCTAACTTTACCTTGCATGATAATATAAACAAGCACTATGAGCTTGGAATGAAGTAAGAATATGGCAAGAGTAAAGGCAATGACCAACACTTAACCTTGGATAAGGGCCAGTTTGCAAGGGATGCCAGAAGCAGATCCAAAGACCCAAAAAAGCTAGTCAAGTGACAAAAGAGGGTTACTTAAGCACCTGGCAAAACGGAGGTGGTATAACGGGAAATTTCTCAACAAGGCTACTGCTTGATGACTTCTTCATCTACTTGTTTTTAATTTTTTTCTTGCTGTATGGCATGTGTTTATATAAGACACCCTAAACTTTAATACAGTTGGCTAAACATTCTTCAATAAACAACGTAAAACACAATCAAGACGAAATCAGTCAAGATTAATTCAGTGTGCAGAAAAGTTATCAGAGCCGGGCTAAGACTGCTATCCTTAGAAAAGCCCGCTTACACAGTTGGCCTTTGGCTCACATGTGGGAACCTAGATTTCTGGAGAGTTCCCACAACAGCTGACAGTTGCTCACTGGCTCTAAGCTGTTTATGCATGCAATATGGTTTATGCTTAACATATGCTTTCCTATTGGGAATCCAGATTTTTGGTACGTGCTAGGGAGAGGTGCCTATGTAACGACAAGCCAAATCCAGTAAAAATCTTGGGTACTAATTCTCTAATAAGCCTCCCGTGTAGTCAACATTTCACATGTACTGTCACAATTCACTGCTGAAGGAACGAAGAAGTATGTCTTGTCTGAGTCTACTGGAAGAAGACTCTTGGAGGCCCACACCTGGTCTCCTCCAGGCTTTACTCTGCATACCTTTTCCCTTAGCTGACTACTATGCTTTGTATCTTTTCACAATAATAGGTCATAGCCAGGGTAGTAATTACACACTGGGTCCTGTGAGCCTCTTAGACAATCACCAAGTCCCAACACACTCAGTTACAAAGAAAAGGCAATACTCTCAGGTTTTTAAGAAAATCAGATCTATGCCAAAATTTGCACTCTTTAGAACTCTTATTTTAAAGTCAGGTTTACAAAAAAGCAGAATAATACACACTTGGAATGTCATATTTATACATCCCTAGTAGAGTTGAGATTCCCATTGAAATTTCCAAAGATATGTTGAAAATAAAGAAAATCAAGGCCAATTTTAAAGACTGAAAAGAATCCTAGAATAATCCTTTAAGAAGCCTGTGTTAGATGCCCTGACATTTACTTGTATATATTCTTAAGCAAGACAATCTATGCTTAAATCTATGAAATAAAAGACCCAAATTAAAGATCTGTTGAGAAGACATGATAAGTGAAGTACTCTATAAACGTAAGGTGTATTTGGAGTGCCTGCGTGGCTCAGCTGGTTAAGCATCTGACTTGGTTTCAGCTCAGGTCAGGATCTCACAGTTTCATGGGTTTTGTGAATGCAGGCCCTGTCTGGCTCCACGGTAACAGCGCTGAGCCTGCTTGGGATGCTCTCTCTCACCCTGTCTCTGTCCCTCCCCCACCTGTGCTATCTCAGTCTCTCTCAAAATAAACAAACTTCAAAACAAATAAACATAAGGTATATTAGGAATGAGGTCTACTGACTGAGCCTCCCATGAGGTTAAGATCCACGAATCTACTCCACTTTAATGTTATTCTTACTATCAACAAAAATTCAAAAATTGACAACCACCCAATTAGCTAAGCTCTCGCCTCTGAAGAAACAGTGTACTTTCCACAAGTCTGACACAGAGGGTATCAGAGAGCTTTCCGGCCTGGTGTATGTGTTTTCAGAGGGCATAACATAATCGTCAAAAACGCCAAGTACAGAGGCACACCAGTCTAAGACTTTAGAGAGAAGAGAAAACTGAATCAGCTGTTAAGAGAGAAGGCACTTTCAGAGACAGGAGCTTTTTCAATAGGGATTAGAGTCTACATCCTGTGAAACAGATTTATCTAGACCACTTAGCACAACAACTGAAACTTAGAAGTGAGAAGCAAGATTAAGACACAGATATTTTAGTAAGAGACTAAAAATAAACTGACATTCTTAAACAGAATTCAAAACTAAGTAAAAGAGGTTTTTATAAAAAGCATGATATGATATGGTAGGCAATAAATCCGTACGTTCTAGCCAGAAGGGTGTGCTTAAGAACTTAAGGCAGGGCAGATTTGCTTCTGAATAACATGATTATATTAAGTTAAAACTAACTCTCTATAATAAAAGCTACAATTTATATTATCTTCTAATGCAGTTTTGGGGGGTATGCCATTTGAGTCTTCATTTCTCCATGTAGTTCTTTCCAAACTGAAGTAACGCCCAAGTAGAAAAGTATAGTGATGATACACACCCAGCATCAGAGTTAATGGTGATGGTGGTTATGATTTTCAGAGCTACATTTGCCATACCTATACAAAAAGCGCTACATCACAAAATTTCTTCTAAATCTTTTATCTTAAAAATTCACATGAGTTTTTGCATACTGCCCTACAATGAGTTTGTGTGTTTCAGAGTAAGAACACGAGTTTTCCGTTGTTTTTTAACGTGTATTTGTTTTTGAAAGAGATTGAGCAAGCAAGCAAGCAGGGAAGGTACACAGAAAGGGGGACACAGGATGCGATGTCGGCTCCACACTGACAGCAGAGAGCCCAATGCAGGGTTTGAACGCATGAACCAAGCTGAAGTCGGACACTCAACCGACAAAGCCACCTAGGTTCCCCAGAACACAAATTGTTATTAGTAGGTTGCAGAGTCTAAGACTGAGAGAAAAAATAAGTGATTTGTGGATGGCAATATATCCAAAGATGCATAAAACTTGAACTCAGAATTTTAATACTACATCCAGTGACTATTCAAGCGCACAAAGGAAGATTATATGCTGGTGAGGAAAAAAATGCATATACACATACACACACATATATATAATAATTAATATATAAATATATATATAAAGCCAGTTAAAGACAGTCTCATGGATGCTGTCTGGACCAGGAAAATAATAGAAGCAAAAGCTGTTTATATGGTCTGGTACCCTTTATGGTCTCTGTATATTCAAAAACAAATTTTTTTTTAATGTTTATTTATTTTTGAGAGAGACAGAGTGTGAATGGAGGAGGGGTAGAGAGAGAGGGGGAGACACAGAATCTGAAGCAGGCTCCAGGCTCTGAACTGACAGCACAGAGCCCGATGAGGGGCTCGAACTCACCATCAGTGAGATCATGACCTGAGCTGAAGTCAGATGCTTAACCAACTGAGCCACCCAGGCTCCCCAATGCTCTCTGTATATTACCAAAAAAGGGCTCACTAATTAAAAAATCTGAGAAAGGTAGTATTTATGGATAAGTGGGATAAAATCAACTTTAAATGATAGCGTAAAAATTTAAAAGTGCGGACTGGTGAAGCAAGTCTTAAAGACCTCTAAGAAAAGGATATTACTGAGATTTAGGTTTAAAGGTAGGGTGGGGAGTGGAATGAAGGGGTTATAGGTCTATGCTTAACCAAAGGCAGAAATGAAACAGAGATGTACTAACATGATTAGATGCTAATGTCAGACTAGAATCCAGGTATCAGCAAAATACAACCTGCTGGATGTAAGTTTTCATCAATAGTTTTATCAGAACACAGTGAGAGCCAACCATTTAAGTATTACCTATGGCTACTGTTTCTCTTTTAATTGTAACAATGACTGTGAGACCTACAATACTAAAATATTGCTAGATTGGGCGTTAATCTAAGATAAAGTAGGGGCGCCTGCGTAGAGGAAAAACAGCAGGTATAAACTTCTATATGATCAAACAAGGCTGGGAAACGCAACCAGCTTTTCAAAAAGTGAAACAACAGTTTTCATTCTACTCAGGGATAAATATCACAGCATTTGTATCCTTATTCAGAACAACCGTTATCAGATCCTCAGACTTAGAAATTAAGTCTTAATGCCTTCAACAAATAACTGGAATGGGTAAGGTATACCTAGAATGCTAAATGCAAGATTTCAACCACCCTAAACTGCTATTCAAACTAATGAAAGCAGATAGTAAGTATGCCTGAATAAGGTTCAGCAGATCTCAAACTTCAGTATATTAAAAAAATATAGATTTCAAGGTTGAATGTCACAAAGATTCTGATTCATGGTATATGGGATGAGACCCCCAAAACATAAATTTTTCATAAGAGGGTTCTAATATGGTCAGTATCTGGGCCACACTTTTATTTTAAATGCTCTACTGCCTTCCACTGTCTTCAGTCTTCCTTTGAACAGTTCAAAGAAAGAGGCTACAAGCAGTTAAAAATAAGGAGATTTTTACAAGGAAAGCCACACCTATAATGAGTAATTTTACCATAACATGACAAATATTTTCCTGAAAAGCCTTAAATTCTGCAAACTCACACTAAAAATAAGTCTTATGGGAAAAATAGAATAAGAGCAAATCACTCAAAATTATGCAATTTTCTTACAACCAGAGCATAAACAAAAACTTGAATAGCACAGGCAAGCAGCTCAGCACGGTTGTAGATTGTTTCAGGGGATATTAAAAATGCAAAAAAAATTAGGAAAGAAATGCAGCTTGCTGAGGCTGAGAACAGAGAAGTGAAGTTCTGACCATTGAGGCTACAGTTAAAATGGACAGAGAAGAAAGTGCAACTTGCCACAGACAGGGAGCCATGAAGGCTGGGGGAGTAGACTTGACTTTAGGGGTCTTGCCTGTGCAGCAGCTGGTTGAGGGCTTTATCCTTTCTATTTGAAGGTAATAACCTACTCCTGCTATTCTGATTCTCCCTGCCTAGAAAAAAAAATTTCACATATGAACGAACACAGTTTATACTGGTGTCATTCTCCAATTTACTACTTGTACACGAGCTCAATGGTGGTGGAAAAGCAAAATGTAGCTAATCAGACTACGTTTCTTTCTCGGTGAGTATGGAAATGAATAAAATAATGTGTCGACAACAGGCTTGCACTGGACAGTCCCCTGTAGTTGAGTTACTCCTTCGAGATCTGTGTTATACAAGTGATAGTTCACTAGGCCACACACAGCTGTTGAGCACTTGAAATGTGGCTACTCTAAAATGAAATCTGCTGTATGTACAAAACACACACTGGATTCAAAGACTCAATACAAAAAGAATATAAAATAGCACAATTAATATTTTCATATGGATTACATAATGACCTGTTTTCGATATGTTGGGTTAAATAGTATATATGATTAAAATTAACGTCAGATGTTGGCTGGTAGAATAAAACTGCATACATGGCTCACTGGACAGCACCGTTCTAGATGAAGGTACCCACTGACAATTAGTGAAAGAGGGCCAGAGATGCCTAGTGTACAGAGGCCATTTCTCAAAGATCTGTCCCATCTAAAAAATTAGCTTATAATTAGCTAAGCCTAGAACCTAATTCTGCTTAACACAATATGCAAATTTTTCTAGAAATTTAGATTGTACTGTACTTAGTTCTGTTTCAAACTCTTACCAAGATGCTCACCACTTTGAAAAACTTCATCACCAACAATGTCATACAATATACCTGCTGTTGTATCTATCACAAACAAATGATATCAAAGAGATTCCTTTGTTAAGAGTAAGGACCAAAAATTAAACTAGCAGAGATAAATGAAAAGATGCAGCTTTCACTGAATTTCATTAATAAAGCTTGTTTTAAAAGCAGTACTGCTATCCTTTATGTTTATCCCAAATGAATATGCTACCTATTTTTCTGCACAGTGATACAAACTACTTTGTGAAAAGTATGTATTACATACTTCCTTTAGAACTACCCACATCTTTCTACTCTAACATGTGTAGGTAACATATTATTTATATTTACCTACAGTCTAGAAATGGAATTTTACAACATATTTTAAGGGAAGGTATACATGCAAAAGAACAAAGTTGCGTTGTACCCCAATGTTTATAGCAGCACTTTCAACAATAGCCAAATTATGGAAAGAGCCTAAATGTCCATCAACTGATGAATGGATAAAGAAATTGTGGTTTATATACACAATGAATTACTACGTGGCAATGAGAAAAGAATGAGATATGGTCTTTTGTAGCAACGTGGATGGACTGGAGAGTATTATGCTAAGTGAAGTAAGTCATACAGAGAAAGACAGATACCATATGTGTTCACTCTTATGTGGATCCTGAGAAACTTACCAGAACACCATGGGGGAGGGGAAGAAAAAAAAAAGTTAGAGAGGGAGGGAGCCAAAACATAAGAGACTCTTAAAAACTGAGAACAAACTGAGGGTTGATGGGGGGTGGGAGGGAGGGAGGGAAGGGTGAGTGATGGGTGTTGAGGAGGGCACCTGTTGGGATGAGCACTGGGTGTTGTATGGAAACCAATCTGACAATAAATTTCATATAAAAAAAAAAGAACTACCCACATCTTTCTTACTCTAACGTGTAGGTAACATATTTATATTTACCTACAGACTAGAAATGGAATTTTACAACATATTTTAAGGAAAGGTGTACATGCAAAAGAATAAAGTTGAGTTGGACTCCTTCCTCACCCCATACATACATTATACACTATACATACGTATAATACAAAATGAATCACAGACCTAAATGTAAGAGATGAAACTAAAACTGTTATAAGTAAATATAAGCTCAAATCATCACCAAAAGTACAAGTGAAAAAAGAAAAAATATAAATTAAACTCTGCCAAAATTGAAAGCTTTTGTGCTTCAAAGGACACCATCAAGGAAGTGAAAAGTCAATCCACAGAATGGGAGAACATATTTGCAAATCATATATATGCAAAGGACATTTACCTAGATCTACTAGTAGGAACTCTTACAACTCAATAAAAGACAAACAGTACTTTATTTGAAAATTTTTTTAAACATTTATTATTGAGAGACAGAGACAGAGCATGAGCATGGGAGGGGCGGAGAGAGAGGGAGACACAGAATCTGAAGCAGGCTCCAGGCTCTGAGCTGTCAGCACAGAGCCTGACGCAGGCGGGGCTCAAACCCACCAACCACGAGATCATGACCTGAGCCGAAGTCGGACGCTTAACCGACTGAGCCACCCAGGCGTCCCCAAACAGTACTTTTTAAATGACTAAAAGATAACAAACATTTCTCCAAAGACATACAAATGACCAAAAAGCACATGAAAAGATGCTCACCAACATTAGCTATTAGGGAAATGCAAAGCAAAGCTGCAATGAAACACCACTTCACATCCATGAGGATAGCTATAGTCAAAAAAGATGGACAAGTGTTGAGGAGGATGCAGAGAAACCAAAATCCTCATACACACTGGTGTTGAAAATATAAAATACTAAGTTGCTTTGGGGGCGCCTGGGTGGCTCAGTCAGTTAAGCGTCCGACTTCGGCTCAGGTCACGATCTCGCGGTCCGTGAGTTCGAGCCCCGCGTCGGGCTCTGGGCTGATGGCTCAGAGCCTGGAGCCTGCTTCCAATTCTGTGTCTCCCTCTCTCTCTGCCCCTCCCCCGTTCATGCTCTGTCTCTCTCTGTCTCAAAAATAAATAAAAAACATTAAAAAAAAATACTAAGTTGCTTTGGAAAACAGTCTGGCATTTCCTTAAAAGGTTAAACACAGAACTATATGACCCAGTAATTCTACTTCTAGGTATATATCCAAGAGAAATGAAAACATGTGTCCACAAATGTTCACAGTCCATAATAGCCAAAAGATAGGAACAAACCCAGGGCGCCTGGGTGGCTCAGTCGGTTAAACCTCCAATTTCAGTCAGGTCATGCTCTCATAGTTCTTGAGTTCAAGCCCCGTATCAGGCTCAGTGCTGACAGCTCAGAGCCTGGAGCCTGCTTCAGATTCTGTGTCTCCCTCTCTCTCTGCCCCTCCCATGCTTGTGCACTGTCTGTCTTTCTCAAAAATAAAACAAACAAAAAAAGATACGAACAAACAAGATGTCTACTTGATTGACAGATAAATAAGATACAGAATATTATCCGACAATAAAAATGAACAAGTCTGCCATAACGTGTAACATGGATGAACTGAAAATGTTATGCTAAACCCAAGAAGCCAGTCACAAAAGACTGTACCTTGTAGGATTCCACTAGGATGAAACATCCACAATCGGCACATCTATAGAGACATAAAGGCTGCCTAAGACTGGGGGCAAGGTGAAAGCTATAGGGTTTCTTTTTGGGTAATAACATTGTTCTAAAATGGGTGGTGGTGATGGTTGCACAACTGGAAGTATACTAAAAACCACTGAACTGCACCCTTTAAATTAGTCAACTGTACAGGAGGTGGATTACACACCAATAAAACTTACCAAAAACAAAAACAAAAACAAAAAACCTGCCATAACTTAAATGTGACTTTGACTTGTCTAGCTTAGACAGAAACCCTTAATTCATCATTTCTTAAACTCTAATTCTATGAGATGCTTTGAATACAAAATGTCACATGGTCATGTAAATCTGGAAAAAGTTGTATATGATATTCTCTCATAGAAAACTTAAATGTACTTTAAAGGATCTAAGAATTACTGAAGTAAAGAAACTTTAAGCTGGGTAGGTGGGGGGGAGGGAATTAAGTACTGACACATGACACATCATACGT